CTTGATCTTGGCAACGTACTGCATCATTGTGAGATCCCTCATTTGGACATGATAAAGCTCATTTTTAAGCTACATTACACGGAATCTGTTTGAGAGTTGAAGCCTGAAGTTCTAAGGTAGACCAGATATCTCGGGCGGAGGTAAGATTTAAAATGTAGGGTAGAACTGCTGGAGAAATTATATAGAGGAAGCCGAAACAAAGTTTTTCACTATCAGGTTCCATAGTTTGTACTCAACAGGGTTGGTTTCGGGGATAGATGCAGCAGGCTTGGCAGTGAGTCTCATGAGATAGCCATCGAAACCATTAGCTGAAAAGAGCTAAAAATTTTGCAATCTCCATACAGGATAGTTTTCACTAGTTAGCTGATTTGGAATAATCAGCTTGAGATTTGTCATAAGAAATTTAAGAGGAGAAGGAATAGTAAAATCTACCATGGCAGCAGACACCGATGACGTTTTTTATGCGGCTGTCTGTGAGGCTTGAGAAGAGGAACCTTGTTCATCCATGAGAAGTTTGAAGGCTCAACTTCTATAGAAGCTCTGATACCATGAAGACTCTTATACCTACAGACGAATTAGTAAAGACGCAGGAAACAAGAGTAAAACTAGCCCAGCTTTTCATTCATTAAAAGATGATCAAGCAAATGCTACATCAATAAGAGTATATATAACTTCAACAACTTATGAAGTAAAGACACATGTCCGGTTAGTTAGATGTAGATTTAAGCAAGGAGGTGGAGCAGCTGATATGGAGCAGCGGGTATGACATCATGTGCTCTGACAATTTCTTGTTGGCAACTAAGTTCAAGTGGGCTAATGCAGGCGGTGGGCGGGGTGAGCACATGACCGAACGTCTTGTCGGGTCGCATGGGCTTGGCATGCAGAAGTGTGGTACGTTTTTGTACTACGGCGATCGTGGGCAGACCAGAGTCAGTTAAGGCGCGACAATTGTATGTGTGGAAGCAGGCAGTCCGGGCTTTTTCATGTGAGCAGGTGGGTGGAGGGTGTAGAGTGAAGTGGAACCCCAGAGGCCCTAGTAGATCCTACAAATGCCTTGCCTTTTTTCTTCTTATTAGAAGCATGGGAAATTTACATACATACAACTTTATTTCATGTTATTTACATATTTACACCCAAAATATTAATATTACTTAAAATATAGAAGGCACCCTGCCAAGTTCGGCTACCCAAAACAGTCCCCCTCTTGTGCGGCTACGTGGTGGCATGCATGCACCCAATCAACCACCTGAAAATAGTCGCTAATGTGCTAGAAGAAAAGAATGTTGATTCTACCCTTATTCTAATCAAATATAAAGATTTATATTAATTGATTAAATTTAGTAAATATGGATTATTGATATAACATGAAAAAATTAAATTAATAAATTAGAATGTATTTTGAGCATAATATGATTTAATTAAGTTCAAATCATTTTATAAAAGTTAATTTTGTGTAGATAAAATTCGATTCAATTTTATTTTCATTAAATTGAATTTAGGGCAGGTTAATTTAGCTTGAATGAGTATAGTTTTAAAATGAATTGTGAGTGAGGATTACAATTTGTTTTTAAACTAGCTTGAATTGAGGCGATGTGGATTGAGATTGATTTTGATTGAAGATATTTGATAAATTTTCAAATGAATTTGAGTTTGAGTTGATCGATTTAGTATGAATTGAACCTACATTGACCATTTTGGCATTAAATTAATGAATTTTCCCTTAAATTGGTTTTAAGGTTGTTTAATTTGATTTTGATTGATTTGATGTGAGTTTATTTAGGCTGATCGAAATCATCGAGATCGAATTGAAAATCAAGTTGAATTGACTCGATATGGCTTGATTTAATATAATTTAAACCAATTTGGCATTCATTAATTTGAAGTCACGTTAATTAAATATTTGATATCCCATTGACCTTCGTAATCACAGTCGAGAATTTTTTTCTACTCATGCTAGAAATTAAAAAATTTTAATGAAATGTACACATACTTTAGCACAAACGAAGAAGGCTTGAATGATATATATTTTTATTAGATCATTGTCTCTTCTAATGACTTGTCAGGAATTGCTATATAATTTTCAGGTCATACAAAATCTCTGGCTTGGGTAAGGCCAGGAGATCATACATGAGTTTTGGGCCTGTAGTTGCCTCTTTACGCCATGATATATATGGAGCTATTTGAAGATGTTTATTATCATGAACAGTGGCGGAACCACACTAAGGTTGGGGGGGAAGGGCAATTGCTTTCCCCTAAAAAATAAATAATGTTTTTTATTGGAGAGAGAATTTTTTTTTTTATGCAATCACATATATATATGGAGAGAGAAAATATATATGGAGCTATTTGAAGATGTTTATTATCATGATATATATGGAGCTTTTGTCCTAACTTGTCCTAAAATGTCTATATATTTCTTCAAATTTAGTTCTAATATTTTCTTTCGTGTTTTTCATGACAATTTAATTATACTTTTTTCTTTATTTTTCTTGCTTAATTTTTTTAAATAACTTATATATATTATTTTTACTATTTATTTATTTTTGAATTGTACTTGACCCCAGTCAAAGTTGAAGCTGGTTCCGCCCTTGACCACGAAGAAGAAGATAAAAGGTTTTATGCAATCACATATTTCTCAATGGTCCTAGCTTATGACTTCAATGGACAAAATATTGAAGTTATACACGACAAATGAATGGTGTGGTTAAGAGTCTAATTTTTTAGCAATCTTTGTGATGGATAAATAATAAAGCAGTAAGCCCAAAATCATGTTATTTTAGCATGCATTTTAAATAATCAAATGCTCAAACAGATGCATAATATAATTATAAGCATATAAAACAGATCACAAATTGTTGAAAACTTTTCAAATCGAACGAAAAACATCAAAATAATTTCAAAAGCCCTCAAAGTCATGATTTTGATTTTTGCACATATTTTTAAATATTTGATTGATGATAAATTTGATCCAAATATTTTAATTTTGAAATCATAAAGAACCATAAGCATAATGATATATAATTTTTATAAATTAAATACACGTACTGCATTATAAGTACAATGAATATGACTCTTTTTATATTTATATTTTTTCAACGGTAATTGTTCCGCTTGGATGCCAATAAGTGCTTGAACCTCTTAGGATTGCTGTAAAGCATCCAACAAACCAATCACTAATGCCTCCTCCATCTTTGTTTCTAAGACTAAGAGAAAGTCTAATAGAGAAGAAGCTTAGTCTATACACCAATGGAGTAGAGGGAGGAAAAAGAAGTTTGGAAAAGAAAAATGAGATTTCTTTTCATATCTAGTTGATTGCTTTCTAACAAAGGCCATATACGTATATATATATGCACCATACATGCATTTTCTTACTTTGATACTTTGCCTATCAATTAATTGGCGATGATGAACTACCTACCTTATTTTTTTATTTCATTATTCAATCCATCAATCACACAATGATGATGTCTCAATTGAGAAAAAGAAATATGCAGTGAGATCTCTTTTAATCAGAATTAGTGAGTGATTTTCATATTGCTAAAAAAAGAAAATTTTATGTACATGATATATATATATTATATGAACTAAATAGATCATAAAATTTATTAATTTATGATATTATTAAAAACAAACTATTTCCAATGTGATGAAAAAGCCATTAAGACACTAAATTCATTATGTAAAATGAAATAATAAAACTATTATAAATAAATATCATTGTTTGCGGTAACACATATACATTTTGTTTTTTTTTTGTTTGTTTTTTTTTTTTTTTTTTTTTTTTTTTTTTTTTTTTTTTTTTTTTTTAACGCGTAAGCCCCTACTAGTGGGTTTTAACTAAAAAAAAAAAAAAACATATACATTTTTTTTGTTTTTGCAGAAAAAGCAGATTCTCCCATAAATATTTAAAAGCACTGAGCACAACCCAACAACAACAACAAAATAAGAAATTAAAATTATCTGCATGTCGTAAATCTACTAAATGCAATTAGAACTTTAAATACTTTCTAAAGTTTACACAACAGCGAAGCAGAATTTCAGCAGAAACTCCACTACCGATCATGAAAGCCAATCGAGTATAAATCTAAGCTAATATCCACCGTTCAGTGGCAGCTGCACATCAAAGCAATAAGATCTTTTAGACAAAAGAAAACTGATCCATCTCCATTGCCTCAAAATCATCACCTACTTGAGGCTTCGCTTTAATCAAAGGCTTAGTGCACTCCTAATATACAGCTCAATAAAACTAGAGTGGTAGTAAAAACAATCAATCAATAATAGGTGGCACCATAGTATGGCTGAGTAGCAGCTGCCGGCTGCTGCTGCTGGAATCCTGCCACAGATGCTGTTGCTGCGGTAGTTGGTACAGCATAGGTCTGCTGTGTATATGCCTGAGATGGATAACTCGGAGCATATGTGCCATGTGTAGTAACCTGAGCTATCTATGTGGGCATCTGAGGTTGGCCATAGCTCGCATAACTGTATGCACTATATCCAGACTGCAACGGATACCCTGGATTCCAGGGTTGCCCTTGTGTCTGCGGATTTCCAACACATATACAAAATATGTTTTCTCATCTTCCACTTATTTTAATATTTAAGAATAAATCATTTTGAGACCTCTTAAAATAATGCCAATTTTTTACACAAATAGCCTCGTTGGATCTCCTAATAAACTACATACTATAAAAGATAAATTTTAATTTAAAAATAAATATAAATTTTAAAATAATAAATTTAATTTTTATGACATGAATTTTGCACCCTATTCTATTTATGGATAATGGTGGTTGGCAAATTTTTTTTTTAGACCAAAATGAGAAGAAAATTTAATGCACTTGAATATTTTCCACAAATACTTATTCTACACCACATATTTATATCTCAAACAAAGATTGCATATTCAACTCCAATTCTTATTAATTTATGTTTGAGCGTGGTAGTGTTGGAAGGCACTGCAGCTCATTTCCTCCATTGGTCACCACAAATACAATAACATTATGGTCTGGTCTGATCTCCCAATAGATCTCCTCCGTCGCATCTCCTCACACTTGTCCATTGTAGACTTAGTTCGATTATCAGTTGTTTGCAGCTCATGGAATTTCACTCATGCCAACTATGCACTCCTTGGATTTCAATGTCGTCCCTCTCCATGGTTGCTCCTTTCCAATGATGTCGGAGAGGCCTCCAACACACTCAACTTTCGCGAACTTACCATAGAAGGAGAAGAAGCTGTCGTCAGTTTCCAACGTTGCTTCTCTTCCATTGGTAACCACATCGAGGGTCGTCGTTGTTTTGGCTCCAATGATGGATGGCTTGTGACCCTTGATACAATGAATCTACAACCTCGCCTGTTCAACCCTATCACAAAGGCTGAAATATGGCTCCCATCCCTTTACGAATTTATCATGCCACAAATTTCCCCTGATGGATCCTTCAGGAATTCTTGCAAAGAAAATTTCTTTGACATTACGTCTGATGACTTACGCGACATATATTTTCATAAGTTTGTTGTCTCCTCTAATGACACCTCTGGAACTGTTGTTGTTATCTATGGCATTACAAAAGCGCTTGCTTTGGCATGCTCAGAAGATCTAACTTGGGTTGATGGACCACAATTATCACCTTACAACACGGAGGATGAGGAGCAGTTTGAGGATGTTTGCTATAATAAAGAAAATCAAACATTTTATGCAATTACAAATTTTTCTATGGTGCTTGCTTTTGACCTCAATGGACAAAATGTTGAATTGATCTGCCCGAATGGACCCAATCCATACTATCGCACCAGAAACTTTGATTGTATGTACTATATTGCTTTTATGTCAGGAACTCTTCTAAGAATAGAGAGAGTGATTGATATTACTCCTAATAGGAACCATAATGCGACAACGATGACTATTTTTGTTTTCAAGTTTGAGCCTATTGTTGTTACTTCTTGTTCTTCTTCTTCTCACTCTCAATGGATCTCTGTCAATGAGCTAGGGGAATACTCCATTTTTGTTGGTTGTAATCAGACATTTTCTTTGCATCACACAGTTGCTACTGGAATTAAACCAAACTGCATATATTTCGCCGATCATTGGAGAAACATGTTGCCAGGTTATGTTGATTGTGATGTTGGAGTTTTTGATCTTTACAATGATCGCATTCAATATATCCTTCACCCTTATACACGGACTAATTGGCCGCCATCAATCTGGTTTACACCATCATTTTCATAAATAAAATATCTTATTTTTTTCTTAGCATGTAATATGAATATTTTTGGATTATAAGTCTATTTTTAATATTTATTGGACACTTTTTTTAGGTAATTTTGAGTATTTTTTAATTTAAATATGTACTTGCCTCTTTTATATTTGTTTTGAAGAAAATATATTAATAATGTTATATCACATTTGAGTCATTTTTGTGATCTTATTAGTTAGTAGAATCAGCTTCTTTTTACATGTAAAGAACGATTTGGAGTAGAAAACATAAAAAACAACTATCTAAAATGAAAAAAAATGAAGCTTATTTAAAAAGAATGAGAGAAAATCTTGTTTATATCTAATAAAGAAAGATAATTTCTAATATTTTCTAACCAAGTCTTTTTAGGTCTAACTCTACCTTTCTTAATATAAGTCAAATCTAATACCTCTACTTTCCTAACCGAATCAACGGAAGGCCATCGTTTTATATAACCAATCCATCTAAGGAGACTCTCTCTAATCTTATCTTCAACTGGAGATACTCCAACTTTTTCACGTATATGGTCATTTCGTATCCTATCTCTAAGGGTAAAGCCACTTATCCACATGAGCTTCCTCATCTTTACAACACTTAACTGAGTATTATGATTCTCTTTTAATGGCCAACATTTGACAACATAAAGCATTGCAAGTCTCACCACCATCTAATAGAATTTTCCCTTAAGTATGAGGGGGACTCATCTCACAACAAACTCGTTGCATAACTCCACTTCAACAATCCAACTTAAACTCTGCTGATAATATCCCCATCTAATTCACAATTATTCTCTAAAATGTTTACTCTTATTAATGACTTGATCGCCCAAAGATACAATTCACTCACTAGGTCTATTACTACTAAAATTACACTCCATATATTCAGTTTTAGATCTACTCAAGTGAAAACCTTAAGACTCTAAGGTTGACCTCCTAATTCAAGTTTACCATCAACATCCTCTCTAGTCTTATCCACAAGAAGAATATCATCAGCAAAAAGCATACACCAAGGTACATCCTCTTACAAATGTCTAGTGAGAACAACCATGACTAAAGAAAAAAAAAAGATATGGGCTTAAGGTTGATCCTTGATGTAATCCAGTCGAAATATGAAAAAACTTGGTCAAACCACCTTGTGTTTGAACAAGTAATATCTCCTCAATACATAACTTTAATGATTTAAATATAAGCGTTATTAACTCCTTTCTTTTCATGAACTCTACATAGTACTTCTCTTGGATCTTATATAGAGGAAAATGTATCTTTAAATAAAAATTCTACTAAATACATTTCCCAAAAAATTTGTGTAACAAATAATAAAATAGACATATTTCATGGTTAAAAAAATTATGCTCCTCAATTTATGAAAGTGATGGTGTAAATAAGATTGAAGGACTCCATTTAGGCCGTGAATCAATGTCACGTATTTAATTTCTAGAGTTTTCGGTGTGAAGATAAAAAAAACTAACTTTGTGACCAATATACTCTAGAAAGATGTCACTTAAATTATCAGTGAACTATATGTAATTTGTTACATTTTCATAAATAGCCAAGTGTTGCAATAAAAATGTTTGGTTAGAAGCTACAAACAAGGAACGATCCCCCAAATCCTATCGGATTCCATTGAGAAGAAGACATAATAAGAAGCAATATCAACTTGCTTAAACATGAAACAAAGATACTAATCATCTAAATTTATGAGAAACATATACATATATATATATATATATATATATATATATATATATATATATATATATATACCTTGTAAATCTCCAATGTTGCATCTCATTGCATTTGCCCACTATAAACTTCTTCCACCACCATCATCAACACCTTATTGAATTTTGCTGTTTCCAACGTTGTACTCTTTTAAATTCAATGCATCCCTCCCCACGGTTGTTCCATCCTAGCGAAGCTGAAGAGGCATCCAACACGCTCACTTACTGTAATCTCAACATCAACGAAAAATGCAACTTTGGCTGTCATCGTCACTTCTCTTCTTTAGATAGCCAAATCTCTAGTCATCACAGCTTTAGCTTAAGGATGGATGGCTCATGTCCCCTAACAAAACAAATCTACAACCTCACCTCTCCAATCCTTTCACAAATGCTGAAATATTGCTCCAATCCTATTTCACCATCACTAAAGGTCGAGGGCATATGATCGAGCCCCAATATGCCCATGACGACTCCATCTGGTTTTATTATAATAAAATGTACTCATAATTTAACACATAAGAGAATGGCTTACATGATATAAATTTTCAGAAGATCATTGTCTCGTGTGAAGACTCCAAAATTATTATTGTTGCATATGGCCTTACAAAAGCATTGGCATTGGCAAGGCTAAGAGATAAGACCACTCTACCTGCAATTACCTATTTAGACCATAAACCACATGGAGAAATTTTAGGATGTTTACTATCATGAAGAAGATCAAAGGTTTTACGCAATCACACTTTTTTTTCTATCATGCTAGCTTTTGACCTTAATAAACCAAATGTTGATTTGATATGCTTGAAGATGAAGGACCCATACTTGCGCACCAAAACTACAATTTCGTACACCATCTTGCCTTTTGTCCAGAACTCTTCTAAAAATTGAGAGGGTGGTTGATAGTTTTGAGAAGAATATCTAGAAGAAATGTTAAGCAAAGACAATAGGCATCTTTATTTTAAAGTTTGTGCTGACTAGTTTTGCTTCTTCTTGCTCTTCCTCTCATTGGATCCCCATCAAGGACCTAGGGGTTTGCTAATTATTTGTGGGTTGTAATAAGAATATTTCCTTCAATCACATAGTTTCTCCCAAAATTAGGACAAATTAAATATACTTCATTGATCATTTGAGCTATATAATACCAAAGTATGTTGATCAGGATATTGAACTTTTTGATAATAATAGTGAACAATTTCAGCATTTCCTTAACTTAGATTCACAGCCTAAATAGCCCCTTCAATTTGGTTCACACCATGACTTATGAAAACTACATATCTTAATATTTGCTAAGCATGAAATTTGAGTTATAAGTTCATGAGTCATTATAAGTTCAATTTATAAGCTTTCATCATCATAAAATAGATACAAAATGACTTAATTATAGCTTATTGGATAATAAGGAGCACCAAAAGTCAAATAAATGATTTTTTTTTTTCAAATGATAATTTCATAGATCCACAAAACACTAACTATTTATTTGTTATTTTGACAATTCAGTAATTGACTTAAATACAAAGATTTATAATACAAGACTTAAATAATTGGTAAAAGATTAACAATTATGATAATAGTTTCTTTAAAATAGACTATCAATTTAGTTCTGTTGCATGAATGATGTTTTTATAATTAATAATGTTTAAGGAAAACATAAAAGTGCATTTTAGTTAATGTAATTGACAAGAATTTAAGATCATATATATTATATTTATGCTTCATGCAGGCTCGTTATTCCATAAAAATTAACTATAATAGCTAGTTTAAGTTTTATAAGGATATCATTCAACATAGTATTGAATATTGCAAAAGTGCATGTGAAAAGCTAACGCCAATAGTCAAATTTTAATTTTTGATAAGCTCGAATGTAAGAAAAATGAGAACTAACATATGACGAGCCGAATGGATTCAAGGCACGCACACCAATCATCAAAGAACTTTGCTAATAAATATGGATGGATGAGGCTGCGATAACAACAAAACAAAAAGGAGTTAAAAGGGCTTTTCCAAGATTTTTTTTTTTTTCGGGACATATAGGCTATTCAAGGAAAAATTATACAAGTAGTACGTACACAAGTTTCAAACTCAAGACCTCTTGGTTGATAACCGAAGCTCCCAACTAACACATCAACATGAGTTGCACATTTGTCAGGATGTGCTACGGACTGCTTTACTTTTTGAAGAAGTAGATGTTAGGAAGTACAATGTTTGATCTGCAATGGGCAATAACCTAAGAAATGTTGTAGTTGCTTGTGATAGGAGGGAGATAATTGTTGTGTTAGATGTTGCCATTGTAGTTGAAGCTACAAGAAGAGGCGCTAGGCTTCAATTTAGGTAGCTTATGAGGTCGAATGAAGGTTCTAGCCAAGCAAGGTGATAGACACGTGAATTGATGGCAAGGGAGAATAGGGCTATTATGAGCTAACAAAAGGAGGTTTTGCTCAGCCCAAAATGTGGGATGGAATCGGACTCAGGGGTAGTTTCAATGAATTTATTTATTTTAGATAAAATTTTGAAGAAGCTTTTGCCAATAAAAAATTTAAGGCTTATTTGAATTAATTCAATATTAAATTTGGCAAATTGTTAGCAGATATTATAATTAGAGATCATGATAATAAAGAGAAATGTTATCAGATGGAGATCGCAATCATGGTGAGATAGGAATGTGAGAAAAGTAAAACCACACATGTTTAGTGTGCTTTCATATTTGTAATCAAATGCCACATTGAGAATAACACACCATCTAGAAAGACGAATGTCGTATTCTACAATTGATTTGATAATAAAAAAAAGGTTTTTAGAAATATCATTTTTATAAATTATTTCATATCGAAAGATGAAGAGACTATTCTACGAAGGATTTAAAAGCAAGAATGGGTATGATCAGATATGACAAAAAGAATATTATATCATCTCAAAAGAAAATAACGACATTCTACAAAGGTACTTGATAATAAAATAGGTTTTAGAAAGATTGTCTACATTTCAAGATATCTTTTCTCTACCAAAAAATAATAAGATAGGAGTTATTTTATTTTTTAGTTATAGGTCCACCATATATAACATCAAATCCTTATGGTTAATTACATCACAAAGAGAGTTAATCTCTTGGGAATACTCTTGATTAATATAATGACAACATTTTTTAGGATTTCAAAGTTCACGACAAGGATTTGAAGATTTTTGACTTCGAAGGGGGTTGGCTCAAGGTTGACTAGTTCTTTCTAGAGTTGAATGATGAAGAATAGGGAGCACTAAGATTTTGAAACTGCTCAAAAGTGC